AGAAGTGAAGTAATGGTGTGGCCGCAGACAAGTGCCGCGACAAGGTGGAGGCCACGAAGAAGTGAAGGACTGCAAGCAAGCTTCGCGGTGTAGAGGAGCCCAAGTTCAGATGTCAAGAAATGTGGCAGTGTGATTTCGCGGGCTGTGCCGCGGGATAAGGAGGTCGCGATGGAAACATGGGAATCGCGGGAAATTGCCGCGGTCTATAGGAGGTCACGAAGATTCATCGACAACTCTCTAGTGTGATTTTGGGGGCATGTGCCGCGGGAAGAAGAGGCCGCGGTGTGAAGATTAAATACCGCAGGGTTGGTTCGCGGGAATTAGATGGTCGTGGCCGTGTAGCAAATCTTAGGCTACTATAAATATGTGTTAGACCCTTAATGAACATTATCTCATTTTCTCTCAAGAACTTGTCTCTCATTGTAAAAGCTTGAAACTTTATATCATTTTGAAGGAAGTACTTCATATTATATCTTGTTTCTCATTCTCATTAACATGATTAACCTTGAATCTATCATGGTTTTAAGGTTTCTCATGGAGATTAGAGAGTTAGATACTTTTTGAATCCATGGGTTAGGTAGATCTAGGGTGATTAAACGTAGATCTAAGTGTTCCTTGCTAGTTGAGTGTGTTTAATACTATTTTAGACTTGATCACTCTATGATTGATCCTTAGTCATTTCCTACTCACAAGGTGTATGTTGAAATGGCTGAACCAACTTTACTTAACTCTAAGAATTCTTAGTCAATGACCTTTGTATCTAAGAAGTTTTAGATAGATATTAAACTTACTCTTAATGATTGCTTGAATTATTTAAACCAATGACCATTTGTGTTTAATTAAGTTAAGCAAATGAACATTTGTCTAGACCTAGAACTTGCTTAGTTAAGTTGTTTAGACTTAAGAATACATTTTGATTGAAACCTTAATTGCTTTAGATCAATTGTCTTAATGCCATGAGATTTATCTTTTCATTCGATTGAAAGTTATTCTTGCATTTATTTCTTGATTCAATTTGAGATCGCCTTTGTTTATATTTTTAGGATTTTAGCTTGTTACAAATCATCCATCTTCTTGTTTGCTTAGATTAAGAAAGCTTATGTATTCTTAGTGCTATAAGTCTCCAGTTCTCTATGGGTTTGACATTCTATTATACTACATTGATTTGATCTTGGACCCTCAAAAAGTCATGCATCAAGTGGCCCATCAGGTGATCAAGTGGAGTGGCTCATACATCTTATATATTACTTAGGATCCCTTCTACTAGCGATGTGGGACCTTTGTCCCTAATACTCCCCCTCGAGATGATGGTTCTTTGAGCATCAATCTCGGAATGATTGGACAGGGATCGATGGGCCAATTTTAGGCACAGATCGATAATGGATCGGGTTGGACTACGTGGACCGTGAGCTATGATACCATGTTAAGCTAGATGGACTTCCAACCTAAAACCAATTAGTGATAAGTGGATTAACCCATATATTTTATATACTTCTAAGGATCCTTTCCAACTACCGATGTGGGACATTTTGTGTCTAATAAGAAAAAATGAATGATTGCTCAATATGGAACCTTGATATTAGTTAATAAATGAATTAATTAGTAAAAATGGTTTTCTTGATGAGTGGGGCCTCTAAACTTTCATTTGGAACTGGAGTCGAATACCGAATGTCTACATTCTATTAAAGTTTGGTCCATAAAGAGCTAGACATTCTATTAAAGTTTGGTCCATAAAGAGCTTTAATCTGGACTTATCAAAATTACTGCTTCCACCGGTCGAACCAAGCTAACCCACTAAGTCTCAAATCAGCGTCGTATAAGTTAGGGTTCTAAAACAGTTTAACGGAATAGTGGATACAGATTCGCTAGCACACAATATGTTCGACGAAATTACTCTAAGAGCTCCTGAGAACCTGCTGACAATATATCAAAATTTCACCTTATCTCACCATGAAACTGAGACAAATTATCGGTTCTATTTCGAGTCTCACTACAGAAAACCTCTCTTCTTCTCCCTCTTATTCTTCCGGTTTCCTAGGCCTATGCATTTTTACCTTAACCTGAAGTACTAACCTTAACCCGAACCAGAAAAAACGAAACCGAATCCAAACTGTTTTACAAAAATATCCGAACGGGATTTATGAGCTTACTACTTTTGACTTTGGTTATAGCCCGAACCGAACCAAAATCTGAACAAGGATACGAAAATATCCAAAATTAGTTAAATATATTAATGTTTTATATATATTAGGATGATTTAGATATTTTAGATTATTCAAACTATTTTTGTAGCTTTTTTTATTTGTTATTTTGAATGTTTTTAGTTAATTTAGATAGTTTAACTAATTTTAATTATATTTGTAAATAATTTATATATTTTGAATTTTTTGTCAATTTTCTAGGTCTTAAATAATATATTTTTGGACGATTTTAAACATTGGTTAGATCCGATCCCAAACAAACCAAACCCAAAAGGAACCAAACCGAATCCAATTCGATAATTAGTAAAAACCGAATGGTACTTATGAGCATAACACCAAAAATCCAAATATCTGAATTACCCAGACCAAAACCGGATGGGCCACCGAATGCCTATGCCTACTGTTTCCCATCAAGACAAATCTTCACCGCACGGTCATCTCCTTCGCAACGAAATGCCGGACGTAATCTCTCAGAAGCTTTACCAAGGAATCACGTCAGATGGGCATCTTTTTGTTCAGTCAGAAACTTGAGGTTCGCATCTGGATTACTTGCAGCCAAAACCGTTGGATTCGATCATGGATTTGGACAGAGCCAAGAATAAATCGCCAGTGGAGCTCAATTTGATCTGAGACGATGTAATTTCTCTCAACGTTCTGTTCTTCTGATGCGTCGCCGTCTTTTGATTTGCTGATAATTTCATTTTGGTCGTATCACTTGGGACGAGGTCATATTGGGATGACTATGAAAACTCAGATTTATCGATTGCTGGAGCAATGAGCAGCAGAGTGGTAATAACAATATCATCAGCTTTGTTCTCGTTTCTGTGTGTTGATTTGATTTGATTTGATCTTCGTCTGTTTGTTGTTGTAATTGCAGCCGATACTTTGCGATTCCATTGTGGAGGGGAAATGGTTATGTTACAATGTTTGCTCAAGGTTTGTTTTAGCTCTTATCTGGGAGTTATAATCAGAATAGTTATATTAGCAACTGTCGATGTGGTTAGTGGTATAAGCAATGGTAGAGATGGTTAGTGATATTAGCAATGGTTGATATGGTAGTGATATTAGCAATGGTCGTTATGGTTAGTGATATTAGCAATGGTAAAGATGTCTTTACTAAAAAGTCAGTCTATTACTTAGGCTAATTAGTGAGGACAAATGGTAGCGAACTAGTAATCTCATGAACAATATATTTTCCTAGGTGAGGCTGAATCTTTGCTAGATGTATCATTTGATGTCTAAAATTAACCACAGTTTCGTAAGGGGTTATAAGTTATAATCAAATTTGTAATGTTAGTAATGGTCGATATAGTAAGTTTATTACCAATGGTCGATATGGTTAGTGATATTAAGCAGTAGTAGAGATATCTTTACTCAATGGACCTTCTAATACTTAGGCTGATTAGTGTGGACAAATGTTAGAGAACTTTTTTAATCTCATTGACAGTTTTTTCCGCGTATGGTGCTCATGTGAGGCTGAATTTTGTTAGATGTAGAATTTAATCTTTGAACTTCACTACAATTTTGTGAGTGAATTTATTTTGTTATAAACCTAAGAAAAGCTCATCGGTATATGATTTTTATATGAACCGTCAATTTTGTATGTGGAAGTTGAAGCGCCTCACATGATTTTCACTAGTCTGGAAGACTACAAAGCAAGAGGAACTCAGGCGGCTCCTTACCTGACTAGCACCTTCTTCACTGAGCTTTCAGAGACAAAACACATGGCGTTTAGAGCGGTTCAATAAAAGGACTCATGACTTTGAGTTCAAGGATGGGTTACAAGCTCATATGCCTCTTCTGTGATTTGCTAAATAAAAAAAGAGGAGATACACTTTTTGTATTAGAATTGGTTTTGTATGGACAATAAAAGTGCTTCTTCACAAAACTAGCTTTGGTTGGATACTTCTCTTAAGTATTTACGAATTTTGCAGAGATACCAAATTCGAGAGATTTTGCTCTTAAATAAACGACATTGGGTAAAAGAGCTTTTCAACTCGAAAATGTAATGTCATTGATATCTATCTAAACCGGATATCCGAACTGAGTCCGATCTGAAAAAAAAAACTTGAATCCAATCCAAATCCTTTACAAAAAAATACTCTAATGAGATTTAAGGATTATATTTTTTGGATAGTGGGTATTCTCAAAACCAAATGTTGAAATAGTATCAAAAAATTAGTTAAACTTGTTAATCTTTTTTACATATTTTAGAGTAATTTTGGATATTTGGTGGTTTCTATTCCAGTTATTTGACTATATGCTCTTGAATGATTTTGATTAATTTTTAATAGTTTTTTCCAAAATTTTATATGATTGTAGACATTTGGTATACCCGATTTGAATCAAACTAAATTCGACCTGAAATAGTAAAATCTGATTAGAATGTATGAGGATAGCATCGAAAATCCGAGTGGTCAGAATCGAACGAGATCGTAAACCCCATACCTAGTTCCTGAGGTGTTTTATTTTCCAAAAAAGACTTCAGGGGCAATCTAGAAGAAGCAATAAAATTCAGGTGGGCGTTAGACAAGTTTCACATAAACCAAAACGACGACGTATTGTAAGATCGTCTCAACATCACAAGGGCTCTTCTTTACTCGTCTCGTCTTCTTCAAAGCTTATAACCAAAGTCGTCACAAACTCTCCTCCCTCGACGCCCTTCCGAAAGACCTAAAAACTACCATGTACGCTATCATCTTCCCTTCTTCACCTCTCTCTCTATAAATACAATTAACCTTCTGATTTTCATCTCTACTTCAATTTTTTCTCCACTCTCAGTCTCAGCTTCCCTCGGCGATGTCAGAGCACCAATCCGAAGAAGTCCAGCAGATCGAGAAGCTCTACGAGTTCAGTGAGCGGCTCAACGCCTCCAAGGACAAGTCTCAGGTCCGCTTTTCAATTTATTTTAGGGTTTTCGTTTCTGAGATTTGAAAAAAAAAAAAAATCGAAGCGTTTTTGTCTAATTGGTTTTCCGTTGTAATTGCAGAATGTTGAGGATTACGAGGGGATTATTAAGATGTCGAAGACGAGTATGAAGGCGAAGCAGCTTGCGTCGCAGCTGATTCCTCGCTACTTCAAGTTCTTCCCTACTCTCTCCACTCAGGCTTTCGACGCGCATATTGACTGTATCGATTATGGAGAACTTGGGGTCTGTTATCCTTTAGTCTTCTTTATCCTTGAACCAATAGATAAACTTAGATTAGTTAGTTAGATGATATATGTAGTGCTTCTGATATTTCAGATAATAGGATACCCCTTGTCTTCTTTCTTGCACTATCCCTATTTATTCTTAAACCAATAGATTAACTATGATTTACAGTGTAAATATAGTGATGAAGCAGAGTTTACAACTTGTTTGGTTAGGTGATATACGTATTTGAGATGTATTGCTTCTGATTCTCCAGAGAATGTGATATTTATTCAGTTTTGTGTTCTACTGAACTTGCCTTTCGATGCGGATATGGAATGTATCGATGATGGAGATCTTGGGGATTTATACTCTTGTCTTCTTACATATGCAAATTTATTCTTGAACCAATAGATAACTCAGATTAGTTTGTCCTTGCAGTGCTCAAAGTTAGCTTCTTACTGGATTTACACTGTTTATATAGTGATGAAGCAGAGTTTACAACTTGTTTGGTTAGGTGAACTATGTATTTGAGATGTAGTGCTTCTGATTCTCCAGAGAGTAGAATATGTAACCATGCACGTTTTTTTCAGTTTTGTGTTTTATAGAACTAGCCTTTTGTTCTGATTTTAAAGCATGTGATTCCGTTAATGTGTAGGTACGCGTTCAGGCTATCCGGGGGCTCCCACTGTTCTGCAAGGATACTCCGGATATTATATCTAAGATTGTTGATGTTCTTGTGCAACTTCTAAATACTGGTAACTCTTGGGATTTTTGTTACTACACTTTTACCTACCTATATCTGTTTTTTTTTTTCTTATCTGACTTGGAGGTAACATTATCTGAAGAGGAAACTGTGGAGCGTGATGCTGTGCATAAGGCTCTGATGTCACTGATACGACAGGATCCAAAAGGTAGTCTAATTTCCTTACAGTTGTTTTGTGTGAGGATACTGCTTCTTCTTAGAAACTATTAATCTACAATGAGAAAGTCTGTAAATTTGATCTTTCAGTCTCCTGGAAGATAATTTGTTACTCTTTTAGTTACTCGGTAAATCAGGGACGGGTTTAAGTGAACAATTTACTGGCTATGGGTTGTGATGTGCTAAACTATCCTAAATTTACTTATGGCTTCGTTAGAAATTAATGCAATTCCCTAGTGTTCTCATTCGTCTGTAATGTT